CAGGAAAACAAATGTTTATATTGTATGGAAGACCACAAGTGTAACGGGAATAGTAAAACTAAAAACTAAACTTAAATTAGTATATGATAGTTATGACTAAATTAGTTTACAAATTAATTAATTAAGTAATTTAAAAAATCGACTTTGTTACAGTTTAATTCATTACACTGAAAAGAGGATTATTAAAATAATTCATAAATTATATAAAAATCAATCAATAAATATATATATAAAATTAAAAAGTGGGTTTAAAAGGCAGTGTAACAATGAATAAGAACATCTCTTAAACAGACAAATTCATTTCTAAAGAAACTGGATTCAAAAATTCTATTAAGAATACATTTTAATCAGGCATTTTAAAGAGGGATTTCCTCTCAATTTCATTTTGCATTATTGTTTCCTGCTGCTTTTTCTTTTCCTCTCAGCTATTTGTTTTGCTGGACCGTTCAGCCGCTCGTTTATTTAGCCTTTCGATGACAATTTGGGCCTTCCACCAGTAAAACAGGGTAAAACAATGCAAATTTGTGATGTAAGAAAGTGTACTGGTTAGACAGTAGCACCCACCTCGTAGCGCAACTATACTTTTCATACACTTCCATCATCCCCAGTGCCTAGCACTTACTAACTGTTTCTTGTTTTGTTTGTAAACCCATTTTAATTTGAACTCTTTATAGATGGATTTGAATTCTTCTTGATATTGCTTATTAAAAATCAATGAATGACTTACTTACTAAACATATTCATTAATGCCCATTTTATTGAATAATTAGTAAATAATTAATTCAGTGCTTTACTATTATTTCTATGACACTCGTGCTCCTCCATAAAAGTTTGTTTTTCCTGCATCGATCAATCAGTTAAAGTACATAGACATAGACAGCATGTCGTCACATGACAGAGGCTTCAGTCATTATTAGGTGTTCATTAAATGTGTGCTGGACGATAAAACTTCCTGCCTGGTGTGTTGACACCTAGCTGTCGACTTCCTGTGGTGTAAGAGCTCAAGCGAGTCTGTACTGTATGTTCCCCATTTAGTTGCATCCAAACCTCCCTGAACCAACAGTACGAACAGAAGAGGGCGTTAGTAGCATCACCCTGCAGACAGACGCCGAGTGTCTGTCACCATCGGCTGGGGGACGTCATCCAATGAGAGGAAGACATCGACCTCTAACCTGCGGCAAAATCAGCCGACTGCTGACAGACGCGGCACGCTGGGAAGCTGAGTCATGGTACTAATTCGTGCACATGTTTCTTTCCTTACAGTTTGTCACCCACTTGCCAGAGCCCCACCCTCCTGAGCCCATGCAGCCCCTGCAGCCCGTGCAGCCCCTTACAAACCCTTCATCCCTGGAGGTAAGACAGACAGGTCACGCACAGATAAAAGCATTATCATTGAGCCGGTTCAACACAAAACTAATAATTAGCTGATCCACATAATAGGTGTCATTTGTAGACAAAGCTTGATTATTCCTCTGTGCCATAGAGTACCATTGTTGTCCAGAAAAAAACACCTCAGAGAACCACAGTGTTGCACCGTGTAACAAGTCCGTTCATTACCATGAGCATGGGCCACAACGTGACGGACAATAGTCCCCAAGGATAACAGAATACACTGAAGTATATAAACACTACACTGCCTATAAATGTTAGTGTATTACTCAGTCTTGTTTAAAATTGCAAATATATATATATAACTGTGGCCTTTTTTGTTGAAATTAGAGTAGCTCTCACTAGAATGCAAACCTCCACCAAGGCCCAACACAGTCCCCTTCAATTCAGTCAAGCTGCACCACTCTCACATTCAAAGCCTTTGCAGTAGCCGACAAATATTCTCACCACAAGATCTGTTTAGTGGCTGTGTTTTTTTTGTAAAAAAACTATCTACATAATCAAGTAAGAAAAAGGCACAGCAAACAAGTGACTTTAAACAGCAGCTTTTCAAAATAAATGTGTTAAAACAGCCACAACTCAGTGAAAACCAAGGTTTAACTCCATCTGCTTTTATAATAATATGTTTCAGATTCACATACATACTGGTTGATGGTTGTGATAAATGCAAGTGGTCAGGCTGTCATAGGTTGGATCAGTATGACATCAAAAAATGTTCTGTATTCGGTCTTCACTGTATCACCAGTGAAGACCGATCATTTATAAGTTGTCTCTAAGTCTATGTTGGTTGCCTGGCAACGGAGCTTGGTGCTGTGGAGGAAGGCAACACAGAGGCGGCTGCATCCAGCATGTCTCTGGATGTGTGAGCAGTGCGAGGCTGGCACCGTGCAGTAATGAATCCTGTTTTGCTCCTTTGACAAATGAGCACATTTTACTGGGAATAAACTCCGCTGTCTTAACGAGACGCAGTTTTCACACGGTCGTTATCTCGTGCCACGGTACAGCAGGTCGCACGCTTGCCGGCATCAGTCCCGACAGCATTCGAGGACCCCCTCCACACGCAAAAAAAGGTGCAATCACCTTTAGGCTTAAGGCACAGTGAGGTCGTGCCCCAGACTGTAAATTAAGTCTCCACTCCCTCCCACAGTCTAGAGATGAAACCAAAATATCTTGGAAACGAAGTTGCCATCTTGCACCGATGACATCATTTGGAGCTAGAGTCTGCGCAGCAGTGATCAGGAGATGGAGCCACACTCGAGAAAAACTACCTAAATGACAGAAACCTTGGCTGTACAGTTGGTTCATGTCCCATTTGCTAAAATGGAGGAGGTGGGGTCAATGACCTATACTGCAGCCAGCCACTATCGAGACCTTTTGGCTTCACTTTTGGGGAGCTGTCATGTCGTCCATCTTTATATCGCACCTATGGGTGCAGGTGATAGTAGGTCACTGTGATGTTACCTGACATGAGATGTTGAACTGAATTCTGAATATGATGGGAAGATATTGCTGGTACAGCGATCATTTGATAAAATTGATACCAGTGGATGCTAACTAGAAGAATAAGGCTCAAAATACAAACTAAAGCATACCAAATGTTGGAAGTAAAGGACTCTTTCAGTTACATTGTTTTCGTAAAAGAGATGATGATCATACAATCATACAAAGCAAATATACAGTTCTCCTCACACTGCAAACACATCATCTATAGACCTATAAACAACAGTAACTGATAGGTACAACTTTTGTTTAAAGTTTTTTTAAATATATCTGTGCCAATTCCAAAAGTGAGACGATCACAACAATGTTCCCCTTGCAACTTATAAATACTGACCTCTGCATAAAATAACTGGATTTTATCAAATGTTTCCATAGAAACCAACCATCTAGACTTCTGTCTAGAATATGAAAAGAAACCTTGACAGACTGACCGAAGCCTAAACCCTAAGCAGAGTTTGAATAAACTAACTAAATATAGATAAACGTAATATACTGTTATGTATTGTAAGATTTATCTTTTTTATTGTTGCTGTGATGTATTGATATCTACTATCATTTTAATGTGCCACACCTTTTTATCTAACATACAGGGAGGAAGAGATTATACTGTCCCACCTGTGCCTGTGTTCTTTTTAAAACATTCCCTTATTCGACTTAATTATTAGTTTATACTTCTTGTAGTGGTGGTGTTTTAACAAATTAATTATATTTTTAATGAGGGACCTAATAAATTTCTTTTTAAGAGGAAGTGAAACTGGGTTGAAAAAATACCCCAAGCAAAAAGCCTTAAAATAGACCTTGAAATACAAAAATAGATGTTCTTTAGATTGTGTTTACTTTTAAAGATCCAGGCTTCACTGTAAACATTGCAAAATGTTTCTGGTGTAAAAAGACATTGAAACACATACATGCTGAGTATTCATCCACTGGAGGTGGTATACGCAGTGGAATGTACCACTTTTTAGAAGTTTGTCTTGAATCCTCCCATGACGACACTCCTCATGGTATCATCCAACAACATCTTACGCTGCTTTCAGGCTCCGTAGGAAATTGCCATTGCACCGTGTGAATAAAAAAGGAAAATGTGAAGCCAGTGTTTCTATGGCAATGGGTTTGACTATTTTTACACTTTGACCAAATTGTCAGACGGATTACACCCCCCCCCCCCCACACACACACACACACACACACAATGATTAAATATCAGTTTTAAATAGCGAATTTGACTCCAGCTGCTTCGTAACGTCTCTAATTGTGCAGGTGCAGGTCAATACGAGTGTAGTTAGTACCTTTATTTTATGCAAAGGTTTGACATACAAATACATATGAACAAGTCCTCAACACATTATTGAGAGATCATCATTCAACAGAGTTACTTCCCTTAAAATACAATTTACCCTGTAAGACACATCCATTGTTCTTTGGAAGGTGATCGATTTTACTTGTTATTGTTTTTATTTTTTCACTTTCACTTCAACATTAAGAGTGTGTGCAATTTGCAAAAGAATCTGGATCTAGTGAATTTAAATGTGGTTTTACAAGACGTTTTCTGACATGACCTCCAGAGGATGTCCACACAATTGGACCGAGGGAAGCAACAAATCCTCTGCATTATTCCGGCGAGAGGTGGAGCAGCAGACGGAGGCAGGAAGTGACATATTAACTCCGCTGTGGAGATCACGTGATTTTCTTAACAACACACAGACACCGGTGTCGCCAGAAATGCTCTGGACATCTTCTTCAGTGGCTTCTCCATGTGTGGCTCCATTTTTTCACCGAGATATATTTAATTTTTGCATCTGTCGCATGTCAGACGCTTCAACAACCCTCCACTCGCTCTCTGTGGATCCACTGTTGTTTACTCACATCAGATTCTCACGTCTTCCTGCTGATGCTATCGTAGGGGGCCAGGCAGGGAGAAAGTCTGCAGATAAAGCCCTCACTCAGACATTTGTGCTCACACATGCACCTCCTGCAGAGAAAGTGCAGTGGATCTCCAGCGATCAGTGCAGCTTTAGGTCCCTTCGGACATTCTCCAGAGTTTTTTCAAGGGGGCTGGTAGGAGAAAGTCCAGAGGGTCTCACTCGCATTTGTGTTTTCACATTCAGCCCCTCCGGAGAAATTCAGGAGATTCTCAGGAGTTCAGTGCAACAAGGAGACTGTTGAACCTCAGCATACAAACAGTGTGTGCTCCCTGATTCTAGTTTCGGTTTGTGCAGTTGGGTGGACAACACAGACAGTAGAAGACGTCACCTTGGAGATTTATGAAGAAGCAAGTGTCCCAACAGAGACAATGGGCAGTGGCTGCAGCCTCAAGCTTGGGTTTGCAGCAGCGTGAAAGCGGATGTAACCAGCAGCACTTGAACGCAGCAGCAGACTCCAGCTTCCTCACGCGGAGTCACGCAGCCAGCGGAGTGTTTGTTTCCAAAGTGAAGGAGGCTCCTCAACAAACACACCGGCATGGAGGTGCTGCTGCGGGGACAGGAGCACGACAGACGCACGGGGGCCCGGAGGATGTAACCGGGAGCCGACCGGGAGCCACTGTGAGACGAGCGGTGTGAACACAAAAGAAACCGCCGGGAGCGAGAGACGATGGTGGGGAGAGCAGCGGCGGCAGCAGCGGGAAGAGGAGCAGGAGGAGGAGGCGGAGGAGCAGACGCGGGTTTCACGTCGTCCCCAGCCGCAGTTTTCTGAACATTCTTCCGAACTTCGACACGACGTTATCCGAGAAAAAGCCTCCAGCATGTCGGACCCGAGCCACTGGTCTGCGGTGCCGAGTCACAACAAGTCCCACTTTGTCCCCGGAGCTCTGCTGAAGCGCTCGAAGAGGTAGTTCTCAGGATGTGCCCGGGCTGGTTGGAGCTACTTTAACTGTTCATCTTTGCTTTATCAGCCACAGATAATGTGTCCCGGCAGGTTTTCATCTTTCATGCAGCTTCTCTTTATGTTACAACAAAAAAAACAAAACAAGCTAGCTCCCCAGAAAGCTGCTCCAGCCTTAATCCTGTGGTGGTGCAGTTTAAAGCAGGGGTTTTGTGTTTATACCTTTTTATATTTGGTTTATACAGATGATGGAAAGCTACCAATATACTGAGCTGACAACAGTTGCTTTACTAATTCATATTCTCGATGGAAATTACGAAAAAAACAGTTGCAATGTGCAGGTTTTCTTTGAAAGGACATGCAACGCTGCAGCAGGTTATTTGAAGCCAAAGCCAGTTTTACAGTTAATGCACAAAGACACTGGATCTTCCCATGCACTTTATATAAATACACATTAAATGTGTGGGATGATACTTTACTGGTTGTACTGGTATGTACTCCCAGTTAATACACAGCTGTTCAAACATCATTGAAAGCTACCACTACATTTTATTATAGACACTGTTTGCTCTAAAATATTGATATTCTCAAATGAAATTACTCAAACCTGTAGATGCAATGTGCGTGAATTGAATGCAACACTGCAGCAGGTTATTTGAAGCCAAAGCCAGTTTTAGAATTGGTGCATAAAACAGAGGGTCTTCCAGTAGTAGTTCAATACATCCACACTGAGCTTTTTAAAATGTTTGGAGACAGCTGCAAATAATTCATCTTGACTCCTGATAATGTTCTTGATTCATCTTAGGTCTATAAAATGCATAACATTTTTCATCACAATTTCTTACAGCCCAAGATAGCTTCTTTACATTGTCCCAAATATGTTTATTTTCCTTCAAAGCAAGACAAGAAAAATAAGCAAAAACTGGAAACCATTAAACCTTTGGCATTTTTTTTTCTACCACCACTGTGAACTGTTCACCCTGGTGTCACAGGCAAATCTGCTCATTTGCATGTTCATGGGCAAAGTTTGCCCATTCTTTTCAAGACAGATTATTTAGCACTCCCTTTACTCACTCTATCTCACACACACACACACACACACACATCCCAGAGTTGTAGACATCTGTGGCTCAAGCTGGGCCTGCTGTTGATGTCCACACACTCCCTCCAGCTTTGTGTCTGTTGACGGGAGGCTTCGTCTTTGTGTTTTTAACCATCATCGTCTTCCCTCTTCATCTGACATGGCCGCGTTGGTGTTTCATGCATTTGCATGCAGATTAGAGTTGTAGTTACGTAAACATTTCTCAACGCAGTGCTGTTCCGAAGGCGGAAATAATCTCATCCGTTGAGTTAAATCTCAGTGGGAAGAGACGACGAGCTCTCAGATCTTCTAGTTAAGAATCATAAGCCTTGTGCAGTGCAGAAGCTGCTGTTGATAACGCCATTCTTTTAGTAACACACTGATTTCTCTGAGTTGCTCTGGATGTGAATGCAACAATGAGAGTCACAGATGTAACTATGGAGTCTGGGTCTCCAGAACATTGACACTGACTATGTTTAGATTAACATCTCTGGGTTTGGGACTTTCAATCAGACAAACCCAACATTTGAAGACTTCACCGTGGGTTCTGAAAAGCTTGTTGTTGGCATATTTTTTTCCTCATTATTTTCTATCTTATAGACCAAACAATGTATATTAACCAAAAATGAAAATAATCATTAGTTGCAGCCCTAAAATTGAGTAAAAAGAAGGCCCTCACAGTCATGTATCATTATTACAGAACACGATATGTGCTGCTGCGCTTGTCTGGCATTGTTTCTGTGTGAAGTTAAGGATCATTGTTACACACCCATGTTGACCTGGTTCATTTAAACCAGTACAATCTGGAGCCTTCAGATGAAGACAAACTGGTTTTCACTCTGAGTAAAAGAATAATATTGTGAGGATCCAGTTTGTAGCATAGCATATATTTTAAATGCTAAGTTAACTTTTACTGTACTGACTTTCTCTGTTAGGCTTATCACATACCCTCCAGTCTGCCTTTGTTAAATCTGGGATGGCTACCACGCTATGTGAAATAGCTTGCTGCAAAATGATCGGTAGCTCCTGCTAATTGAAAATAGGCTTTTAATAATTTTAATATGAAATGCAAGAACTAAAGTTAAAATTGTAAATAGTGCAAAAAAAATTCCCAGCAACATACATTTAAAATATCATGAAATCATTAAAGTACTTTCATTACAATTAAGAGAATAGCAAATGATATGAAATAGAAGAATAGACGTTGTTGTCTATTTTCACCACTCCCAGTTTGCACACAAACACAGATGTGTTATTGTGTTGTGACTCGTTCAGACGGTTTCATTCAGCCACATTAGTCAGAGATTAATGGATGACAGTCTGCTGCTTTAGAGGTCAAGTGTCTTCTTAATCTGTCCTGTGTTAACACTGCCACAAGTCCTGTTCTGTTCATCAAGCTGCTGCACAACACACACACACACACACACACACACACACAACCTGAAGCACTGCATGAGTCAAACCTGTAATTGTAGGTGAGTAAACCCAGGGAAAAATTATTACTCTCAGCTTACAGGGTTACACTACCATTAGCCCCATTGTTCATATTAACAGTTTAGTGATGAAAGGAAACATTAAAGATATCTGTTTTAGCTTCTTTATGCCAAGTAACAATTTGTCGTCATCATTTTTAAAATGGAACAAATTAATATTAAGCTGTAACTTGCAGGACTCTTAATGATGTTAATACACTGTCTCAGTTGTTCATTTGGAGCACTGGAACTAATGTTGAGCACTGCGCTGGAACAAGTTTATTTTCTAACTACTGCTTCTAAAGTTCCACTGTGGACAGTTGCAGCAGAATTAACTGGTCCACATTCTCATGACAGTCACTCAATATACAAAGCACCACAGAGGCATTGTAAAGCAAATGTTGATGAGAGATGCAGATGTGTAGTGTGTGTTTAGGCTTTCAGACATTTTTTTTCTGCTCCAGCTGTCGCAACAGGAAGAGCCTCGGTGTCGGGACGCCATCGCCCACGCTGTCCCGGCCACTTTCTCCTCTCTCTCTTCACACCGGTAAGAACCATTTATACATTTTGTTATCTTTAATCCCAACACGTTCCAACATGAGTACCATTACAGAAAACATGTTAGGAGAAAAGCATGTTAGCATGTTGGCATCGGCTCAACTTTACCTGCATTATACTGTAGTGTCATCCAACAATGTATTGGCCTGGGGTATGGAAACGTTTCACTGTGTTTGATTGATGCGGTTGTTAAAGAAAACATTAGTGTTTGTCATGTCTCACTAATGCAAGATCAAGCTAGTTCAAGACATCAGTCATGAGCAGCACCACATCACAGTATCTGGTCGACCTGGAGGAAACCAGAGGCTGTTAGAAATATGACACACCACAGAAAGTGTTTCTAAATGACCTGAAATCAGTTTTGGCATCTCTGCTCTGCCAACAGATTCACATATATAAATGATTTCAATAAGCCAATAAATCAATATGTCTGATTAATCGTTGTAGTTCTACTTTGTGATCAGAATAGAAAATATAGTGTTTTACCATGATCACTCAGCCAAGGTTGTTCTTCAATGAAATATATCACCCATCAGAACTCCTTTGTTTAAATTGTGAATTCCCTTCATAGATGTTCAGAATTAAGACACGAGAGTACAGAAACGTCAACTGAAGGAGAGTGCATTTCTAAATTTGTTGCGTCCTCCTGCTTTGTGAATCAACAATAGCATGTACAATGTGATCCTCTTAATGCCACGAGGCAGCTGCACTCTATGAAAAGAGTTTTTCTCGACAGCTCCTCATTCCAGCAGTATGTGGACGCGCTCTCTTTTGAACTCAATCAAACCGAGGATTATCTAATCACAGAGAGGCTATAAGGCTCTAATTGGGTACTCGACCACGTGTGTAAACGGATCAATGTACCCAGACCCCCAGACTCTGATGAGACCAAACTCTTTGACGCTCTCCCCTTAATGAAGAATATTCATAGAAAGGTGCTGCATTATTTGGAAGATGTAATACCAAGATGATATACTGGACCTTTCTGAGGTGCTGGCTAATGCTGCAGTGATTGAGTTTTCTTGCATAGAAATTATGTCATTCTTTTTTCTAAAAATGATCCGCATGGAAATGCAAACATATGGTCGCCTCGGTTCTAATTTCAGGAGTTTATTATTACAGTCGTAAATAGTGCGGGGAGTAACTTTGTCTTTCCTCTTTAAGCTGCAAGCAGCCCTCTAGACAGCCCCCGAAATGTGTCGACCAGCGCCTGCCTCAACTTTCCATTTGCCAGAAGGTACGTCAACACTGCACTTTCAAATCATTGCCCCATGTACAGATTTATTTGTTTGTTTTCACAGCTAACTGGTAGATTTGGTGCTGATGAAACTTGTTTTAGTCTGCAGTTTCCTTATAGTATAGCTTCCTAATAATTTGGTACATGGAACAACTAAAAGTTAATTTTAAACCCAATTAAACATTCATTGATTATTCAAATAATAAACATTTGCTTGGCATTCCTGAGTAGGCTGCTATATAAATAAAACATTGTTGGATTTGGTTGATCAATTATTATTTCTGATACCAGAAAGATTTTAACTTTAAATCTTGATTAATACAATTTAAGGAACTACAGTCTGTGTGTGGCTGTTGTTTACATTCCCTGGACCCTTTTTAATTTAATGCGACAAAAATCCAAATGAACCCAGAAACAACAAAAAAATGTTTTAACACAAAAACATTTAATGATCTGAGGTTTTACTGTGAGATTCAGTGTGTTTGCTGGGACAGAGGCAGACAGTCAGCAAGCTGTAGAGAAAGAGCAGCGAGGTGACTGAGGCTGATACAGCCTCGAGCATTCATGGACACACACACACACACACACACACACACACACACACACACACACACACACACACACTCACAGACACACACAAACACACCTCCCCCGCCAGGTCTCCTTACAGCCGACTCCTCCTCAGCAGGATGAGGCAGATAGGTAGATGGTACCCCCGAAACCCACTCCCACATCATTCAGCCTACAAGTGAGGCGGCACCTTGAAGACACCCAAGAACAGTCATTAAAAACTCATGAGCAGTTCTTGATCCTTAAACACAATGGAGACCAAACAGAAATATGACACCTACTCTAAATAACTTTATTTAGAGTGCTAGCATCACGGCAGCTTACTGTTAACATTAATGTTAATATATGCTTTAAACCTTTATTCCTTTAATATTTGGGTTTTGCATGTTCTAGTTCTAGCGTCAAAAGACATCAAAGTTTACGGTACTTTTAATTTCAGTGTTGTTTGGACATTAAATGGCCCTCATCTTATGTAATAAGGAATCAAGATCTAATCCTGCACACTATAACTTCATGATATTATGCAGGGGAAAGTGATGAACTTATATAAACAGTCAGTCACTCCATTAAGCTCCCATCCGTTGTTGCGGTGCAATAATGGCGTCAAGGTCAAACCTATATAACACAATTGAGGAAAGAAAACCTGCACAGTATGTCTCCATGATAGTGGATACAATAGTTAATGGTAAATTGCAGTGTTCTTAATGAACCTGTACTTGTCTTTAACATCACTCTATAAGCCCCTTAACTCAAACTATCACTGTAAATACATGTCATTTTGTAGAAGCTTTCACTCAACCTGTAAGTTTCATTCATTGTGTAAAAATTTGAATGCAGACAACAGTAACACTTGCATATTTTTGCTGTTGCAAAATCTTAGCTGCAAAAACCAATGCCGCGAAATTATTTTCCTAGTTATGCCTTAAAGTGAAGATTTGTTTTTGTTATGTAAACAATATCCTCAAATTAATTTAGGTAGGTTGCCTCCCCTTGTATCTGAACAGATGAAAACTGGCAAGGAAGGCAACATTGTCAGGACTAATCCCTCATCTGAATGCCAGGGGTCAAAGGGTCACTTTTGCAAGATTCCCAAAACTCACTAAAGCGGTTTTCTCTTTCTCTCTGTTGCCGTCATGGTCTCAGTCACTTGGCTCGTGCTGACAGGTAGTTTCTTTTATATTCTTGCACTATTTGTTTCGTCTTTTCAAGTTTGTGTTTTTAACACTGCAATCCTGTATTTGCATTTATGTTGGTTTTCAAAGTGAAAATTCTACTTAAAAAAATTACTTGTGATACATTTTCTGAAAGACCGCATGGAGCCTAATTCTAACGAGCAGCTATGAATACAATTACACACAGATCTCTGTTGTATATGATTTAGGGAGGAAAAACAAGGCATTCATTTCATGCTCTCGTAGTCACAGATCTCCTACGTCATCTGTTATGTAAGGACTTTCACATATGAAATGCTATCTAATGCCTACTTTGTCGAGGCTTATGTAACTCGCATGTCTGTTTTTCTCAGAGCTGAGGGCCGGAGATGGTCCCTGGCATCCCTCCCCTCGTCTGGCTATGGAACCAATCCGCCGAGCTCCACTGTCTCAGTAAGTCACCTCAAAACACGACACTGCCCCCCCCCCTCACCAGTTGAGATGTGGCGGCCAGGAAATTCTAACACCTCACTCAGCACAAATAGCACATTGGTTTATGCAAAGAGGGACAGCAAATGCTGAGACCGAGATGACAAACCAATAATTGTTTTCCTCTATCATCTGCTGTAATACACGCAGTATGAGTGTTTGCATGTTGATGAAGTTGTGTGTGTGTGTTTCTGTGTGTGTGTGTGATAGTTTAAATACTAAGAGCGACATTTTGTGACAGTCTTGAACATAGCATCACGACATCACACGTTTGTCAGATTAAAAATGTGCTGAGCCGTTTTTCTTTTTTTTTATGTGGTCTCCACAAATATATTTATTTGGTACCAAATCATGACAGAAGTTATCTCAGGACACTTTTATGTAGAGTAGGTCCACATGGCACTTTGTTTACAGGGCCTCAATTCCAACCAAGAGTAAGCAGTTGGTAATAGAGGTGAGGTTTTAAGGTGCAGAACCACCGGTTAGTTGGTTAGTGGCTTGGTTGGTTGTTTGATTACTTGTTTGTGAGGTTGGTTGGTTGGGTTAGGGTTGCCCGATCGTCATTGTCAAAAAAACCCACCACCAGCCATTAGCAATCCAGTGTAGAAAACACAGCTAGCTTGTTTTTACCTGGTGCTGAGCGTTGCTGTCCGCGCTTAGAATAACAGATGTGCTGGTGGTTCATCGTATCAGCTGTAACTAATTAACTGTTGACAGGTCTAATTTAAAATTGGCTGTGTGCTCACTACATGCTGTCAACTTGTCAAAGATAGTTTCTGAGTCAAGAACCACCACTCTGGAACTCCACTGTTCAACCTGACTGGCCAACATCAGTGACCTGATGTTGTATTAAATAGTCCATTTAAAACAATGGAGAGATGAACTCTCCTACAGCTGTGCTATTTCAGTGTACCAGATCCACACATACTTTAATCAACATTTAAGTAACATAAATTAAGTATGGGCTCTACAGTAGACACCTACATTCTTGGCTTAGTTGCTGTTATTTGATCAAACAGGCGTCTGGCAGGCCGGGCCACTGAGCGTAGAAAATGTTACTTCACGCAGCTTTTCAAATTTCTTTGCACGTATTTTGAGAGGGGAGTGTCTAAGTATACTTAGTATGAAAGTAACCTTCTTCTTTAGAATAAAACTGTTAAAAAAGTCCACAGTGTGTGTTGGGGGGTTAGGGATGTGATGAGTCTGTGTTGAAAGTCTAACATGTGCAGCTATTATAAGGAAGTTTATTGGGTAGACCCAGAGGTCAATGCGGACAATAGAGCTCTTCAGTGGCTCTCACTGGCCTCTTTATACTAAGTCCTTAAATGAGACTTCACAGATGCTGTCCCTCTGGCCGTCCTATGTCCGGGACACATGGGCTGCAAAATGAAACAGAAACGTACACATTGTGAAAAAGAGTTAACTTACTGTCACAGTAGACATGGGGAAAAACATTTCTTTACGTAAATGTAGAAGACTTTGTGGACTTCATTACTATTAACACCATCACATAAATAAACACTAATGATTAGATGGAGAAGTGTTAAGTTCTCCTCAGTATTCTAGATTCAAACACCAGCTAAACATGTGCTGCAGGTGTGTAACCAGCAGTTCGTACGTCTTTGTTGCTGTTCATAAACCAGAAAGCAAATATGAATATGTGAGTGTAAAATTCCTAACAGCCAAAATGCTCATTATATGGCGCTATTCTGTAATTATGTAAAAAAATGAAGGGCTTCTTGATTTGTGAGGCATTGGCTTAGATTTAAAGCTAACTAACAGTTAAGGAACTGAACACAACTTAATTGCTTTTGCTTTTTTCTGACTCCTACCCTGACTGCCCTGTTTTAATTTCAGGTTTGTCTAACTTGTCTGAACACGTTTGAGGTCTCATTAACTGAGTAATGTCACTGAAAATTCAGGACTGATATGTAGCAATGATGTCTTTGCAAAAGGGAGCTTTAGCGATGGCTGGGGCTGTAATCTTGAGTTTGACCGACATGAAACCTTTTTAGCTCCTATTAAATCTTTGGCTTAACTTTGGCAAATCATACATTTTGGCAACAGAGGCTGGACAAATCCTGGTGGCCCTTAAAAAATCCACAATGTTTTTATATCTACACCCTCCTTCACCTGTACCTATCATTCAGAGGGTGCATCTGATAGTGAGGTGCTTCCACCAGATATTATTTAAATGTCCAAACATTGGTTTGTGGTGTTTGTATTTCATACCCTTCAGAATTTACCTTGAATTTGGCCAATGTTGAATCAAATGAATGTTCTCGACTCATGAATCCATCTTTGTGTCTGCAGTCCTCCTCGTCCTCCCAGGAGCGTCTTCACCAGCTTCCGTACCAACCGACACAAGATGAGCTGCACTTCCTTTTTAAACACTTCCGCAGCACAGACAGCATGACCGACGAGGATGGAAGGCCCTCGACTGTCATACGACCTCGGTCTCGGAGCCTCAGGTACCTGATCCTGAATTCACATTGAATCTAAATGTGTCTTATTGACAAATGGATTGTTTTCTTCGATAATGGTGTGTACTAATTTGAGTTGAAAGCTAAGATATTGATGTCCATGGTGATTACCTCATTTTTAAGGCTTTGCTAACACTTACAATTTTCTCATCAAACCACTCTTTTACAACCGATTCTGACCTGACTCCAAACATTTTTCTGTTGTTTTTCAACCTAGTGAAATTAGTATAGAGATTAAATTCAGTAATCCTTCCTAAGGGATTAACTGCCTCTTCGTTGGGGAAAAAAAACAGCTTTTTAGATTTGGACAGCGAGTGCATGTGTTGCACTGTGCATGAGGTCCTTGGTGTCAGAATGCACTGGTAGACTGTCTGATGTCAAGATGCCTGCACATTGATGCGTTTGGCGTCTGCAGCGCCTGTCATTGATTACACATGCCTGTTGGCTGGCAGGTGGAGCTCTGACTCCAGAGCTATTTGGTTTTGACAACTTTTGTCTGTTGGCTCTGCTCTGCACTGTTTGTGGGATGCCGGAGTGCTCTGTGTTCTGGCACCATGGTGTGCAGTGTGTAGGCGTGCTAGCTAACAGCGCCTCAGGGATCTAGCTGCTGAACTGTAGTCGAGGGCGGTGATGGTTAAGGGGGGTGGGGGGGGCGCTTGATGCAGAGAGCCACGGTGAGCTGCATTACTGTGTGTTGGGCTGCAGCCATCCAGTCTAACAGAGGCGTCTTTTCATGACAAAAAATGGCTTAGGGAGCCTGTTTTCATGCGATAGGTTTTCCCTCCATCTGTTCTCTTTGAAGCTTCTCTGAGCATAATTTTTCTGTGAGAATACCCTCATCTCTGTGGTCTAAATACTGCTGGTGTTGCAGTAAATGACTAATTGAGTGATGTTGGTGATTCACACATTTTGAACAGAGGAAATGTTTGCAGTCTGCACAGAATCATCAAAACACGACAGTGAAATCCATCCTGATTGCAGCTTTAGCAGCTGAAGAGCTACTGAAATCGAATGTTGGCTCACAATATTGCTTTTGGTGGGTTGAGATCAAAAGTGCAAGTATAGATGACCAATCTCAAAAACATATCAACTTTTAGTCAAACCCAAACCACGAGTGGAACGTTGATGTGTGCATGTTCGATTGTTGGTCATTTCTAGATAACCATGACATAACCACTTTCACACTCTATCCCACCTTAATGACTGAGAGTTAAATTGGATTGAGTATTGATAACTGTCATAGTACATTTGTTGATCAATTAGAAAATACTAATAGCTTGTTTTGTTTTCGTTGCAGCCCCGGGCGATCAAGTGTTTCCTTCGATAACGAGATAGTCATGATGAACCATGTCTACAAAGAACGTTTTCCAAAGGTACGTACTTCATATCTATAAATTGGTATTTGCACTAAAGTCATTCTTGTTGATCAGTTTGTTGTGGCACTTAAACAAAACCAGTTTGGTTTGTAAATCCACCTGAAAGCCATAAATATAGTTGAATCAGGAGCATGAATCTTGAAAAAAATGTTTAATTCTTAACAGATAACAGAATGGCTAACATATCAGCAGGTGGCAAAATAATCACTGGTTATTATCAACAACCATATGAACCCACCCACAGAGACATTATGGACATTTGGTTCTACAAAGAGTGAAAATACTTAGTGCTCCTTTTTTTCTACCCCCCCTGCAGGCCACAGCCCAGATGGAGGAACGTTTATTGGAGATCGTCACTCACTGTTCTCCAGACAGCTCTCTCCCACTGGCTGACGGGGTGCTGGGCTTCATCCAGCACCAGTTGGTGGAGCTGGTCAGAGACTGCCTGGATAAGTCCCAGAAAGGCCTGGTTACTTCCCGCTACTTCGCTGAGCTGCAGGAGAAACTGGAGAAGCTGCTCCATGAGGTGGGCAGACAGCCAGATGATTTAGACCCATGGGGACATTTTGTGGGTCAAAATGTTCTTTATAGGTGCAAAACAATTATTAAAAATAAATCTAATAGAATCACATAGTGCAGCTTTAGCCACCATCAGCTTATGAGCTACAACTCGTCACTCCAATGATCTGAAGTTATGAAAGGGGATTGATTGATGGAGGCAGGAATGTGCAGTCAGCCATGTAACTCAATAAACAGTAGCCTGATAGCCGAAGGCACACTCGATAGATCTTGTTGAGGAAAATGACAGTGAAGTTGAGAGGTACTTTTGTCACAGGTCTCATCTGTGTTGTGATAAAATGTTAGTTTCTATAGCAACTGCTCCCTCTGGTCCTGTGCATGCTGTCAGACAGAAGGCATGGCCAACTCGCTGTACCTCCAGCTGAACTGATAAGTCTGTTCCCATTCAGTGGAACACATGCACTAAGGCCACTTTGTTCAAAACTAAGTTTAAGGAGACGTATTGCTGTTCAGTGTTTTTTCCTCTTTGATGTTATAGGGTTTTTTTGCTAATGTAAAAGGTCCTTTGGAAGACTCAGTCAGTGAAGACATGACCTCAGTAGAAAGAATAGTCCACAGAGGCTGAGCTGAAATGAGATAGTCTGGTCTACGTAAGATTTCCCATTTGCTTCACCAGCTCTTACCATTGCACCATTAGCTACCTTGAGGGACTGCACTTATTGCAGCCCAGCCACCCACATTGCTAGCTTAGCTTCGTCACTGGTACACAGTGAATCCTGGGATATTTTGTGCTGCCAAGGAGTCACCAGTTAGATCCTGTGTTGCTCAGGAATGGAAGGACGCATTTTTTAGCTACATTTGAAGGAGCCTGGTAAATAGGACGGCCTAGTCATGCTGCTGTGACTCATTCAATGAACTAAAGTCAATCGCACAGAAACGTAAATAAGAGCACTTAGAACATAACTGACACTGTTTTACACTTCAGTGTGATGCTCATTTCCACACTGAGTTGACAGTAAGTGAGTATGTGAGGATTCTGTGTTTGCAAAAGTTCAATAGGACACACTTGTGACTGTCTAAAAGTCACATTGTAATATTCCCATTAGATTATGGTTTTGATTGGACCAGAGGGAATGAAGATGACCCACATTTACTTACACGAGTTGGGAATGACTCTGTGTTCAGAGATAGCTGAAGGAAAATTTAGATTTTTTTTTTTAATCTCAAGATTTGGTTATCATTGGCCTGTGTCAAGCTTCGTGTTTCCGCTTGTTCTCAGACATTTTTCAAAGCTAAGCTAACCGCTGCTGGTTTTAGCCTGACACACAGACAATAGCATCAGTCTTGTTATGGTCCAGGCTCCACATGCAAATGACTTGGACAGAAATGTATAGTATACCATGCAGCCACTGTTAGAGACTGTCACTCCAAGTGTCTAGAAGAAAGACCACAGATGACTCATTCAGACTATTCACACCCACCCGATGATTATTCTAATACTTCCTCCTTCTTTAACGTATTGAAATATCTGACGCAATTCTGTCAAACAGTGTCTGTTTTCATATTTCTCTTACCCATCTGCTTTGAACACACTGTATTCATATATTTACATTTCCTGTATATCTATTGAGCAGTGCTCCCGCTGGAACATTTTTACTATCTTTTCACTTTCTATAGCACCTCTCACACGAATCAAATGTAATTCAAAGTGCTTTACAGGTGTTTGACTCAACATAGGATATTAAAAATGATTTAAATATTTGGATGTAGAGACTACTGCATACAATAAATATAATTTTGTTAAATGTTAAAGTTTTAAAGTTTTGCCTCCCAGGTTCTTTTGTGATGATCCATTTGGTCAAGAGTACAGCCATACTGCAAACAGTAAAAACAGTAAAACCTAGCTTTCATTTTTTCCTCGCTCCCCTGCTGTTTTCCAGGCTTATGAGCGTTCTGAAAGCGAGGAGGTAACCGTCATCATCCAGCTGGTGAGGAAGATCCTCATCATAATCTCTCGGCCGGCTCGACTCCTCGAGTGTTTGGTAAGCCTGGCAAGAGAAAATCTCGTTCTGATTGAAAATAAGATTAGTTTGATTGAAATGGGTTGAAGTCAGTTGTTAAAGTGGAGATTCTGACCCTTTAATATCTCATAGGAAATACATTCATGTTAATTCCAGGAACACGAATCTGATGAGGGAGGAAAGTATGATTAAACTTTCACTAATGCTTCCCTGTCAGTAGAGATGTTTCTCATCAACGTTAGTGAAGTCTATAGATTTCCTACAGTAAAAACACATTAAGATTTTAAAGGTATTTTTTCACTGTTGTATTGCTTTGCTGACTAACCCATCAGGATATTGGCGTCAAATTAATGGGTCTTTGATGCTGTTGACAGGAGTTTGATCCAGAAGAGTTTTACCACTTACTTGAGGCAGCAGAGGGCCACGCTAAGGTCGGCCAGGGAATCAAGACGGACATCCCGCGGTACATCATCAGCCAGCTTGGTCTGACCAGGGACCCTTTAGAAGGTAAGTAGTAAAGCCTCATCCCAGTGAAACCAGCGGTGTCCCTGTTTCTGCATTTGTGGCTCAGATTTGTAGCCGTACGCACAAATTTGCTGAAAATACTCTCCAACCTACAATTTCTAGCAAGGAGTGGTAGAGTGATTAAGGAAACTTGTTGAGGTTGCTATGACACATTCTTTTCAAAAGTGTGATTGGTTGGTAAATATATCTGTTTTAATGCGCATAGAATTAACTTTCAGTGAAATCCTAAGACACATCACCTATCTTAATAATTCAAGAGATCTATCTGCTTATATGTGTATACAGGCATGTTTAAAAAAAGCACTGCACTTATTTCCACATGAAAATTTTATATAATAAACATCAATTCATTTATTTGCCTGTTTTTTTTTACCAAGCTGGTAATTTTAATGCTTTATTATTTTGATATTGATACAGAGAAAACATTACTCTGTGTCACAGTGTAAAAGTGAGAGGGGAAATTACAGAACACAAACATGATTGTTCTGGCACCGTTGCTATATCACTCACTTGAATCATCAAGTAATTGCTGTCAGCAGTGTTAAAGCTGTAAAGCTGAATCAAGAGGCATTCAACACACACACTCTTGTAATTGAACACTTGAATAGCAGTTTGTTAGTATCGCCATGGCAATGAGGAAATCATAGATGGTTTGCTTAAGATAATTGTTAAAACGCTGGTATGTGGCAGCTTGGATCAGTATGAAGAAAAGTGTGATGGAACAGTGTAAACAAAGCCAAGCAGTTTTGTGTTTTCTATCACAGAACAGTGTTTAAAACCTCATCGGAAATCTTGTATTATTTTCACTAGATCTGCATTCAGTTCGCTGCATATTGAATTTGGTTTACATTCTATAAAAGAATAATAGAAAGTGTAGCAGGTCAGACTTAGGAAATACGTCCTTCACTGTGAATGTTGCTGGAAATATTAAACTGTGTTTCTCTCTTATTTGCAGACATGGTGCAGCTTGAACAGTATGAGGCCAGTCCTTCAGTGTCAGTGGAACCAGATGCTCATGTGGAGGTAATTTGTTCTAAAAACATTTGCACACACACCACTGTATTCAAATGTGTACCTTGTCTTTCTGAGCAACTTCTGACTGACATATCTGGATTAAATGTAAACACTACATCTCCAAGTTTGCCTCCATTACACTTATTGCAGCAGATTAATGAACAGGCCCTGAATTTAGATTTTATTGTAATAATGTGACTAATTGTTTCTACTGTGTCTACTTGTTAACTGTCTTCTTAGCATCATGTTTTTGCTTCCTCTCTTCAGAATAAGGCTCCACAGACTCTGACACCCACACGAAGGAAACCTCTTGAAAGAGATTTTGAGACGATCAAACTCATCAGTAACGGAGCTTATGGGTAAGAAGAGCAGTCCATTGTTTTAGCTTCCATTGCATTTCCCTAGCACTGTTTCCAAAAGATTTATTACCTCAGCCAAGGAGGTTATGTTGTCACCTGCGTTAGTTTGATGGGAAAAGGATAACGCAAAAATGACTCAATGGTTTTCTATAAACTTTTGTGCAGGTGATGAAACAAATCAGGCATGTTTAGGGAACTGATATTTATGAGTGTGTGCAATTTGATGCAGATCCAAATACAAATCCAGATCTAGTGAATTTGAATGTGGTTTTATCATTTGATAATAACGGGTCTAATGTCTTTTGATAGGGCTGTGTATCTGGTTCGCCACAAGGAGACCCGCCAACGCTTTGCCATGAAGAAGATAAATCGTCAGAACCTGGTCCTTAGGAACCAGATCCAACAGGCTTTCGTGGAGAGGGACATCCTGACCTTTGCTGAAAACCCCTTTGTCGTCTCCATGTTCTGCTCCTTTGAGACACGACGCCACCTGTGCATGGTCATGGAGTATGTGGAAGGTAACGTCAAGAGAGGCCTTCTTATGTTTTCTATTCAAAGCAATTAGTTAAGCCTAAAGAAGAGTGGTTTACTTTGAGTGCTTTGTTTTGGAAAATAAAAATGAGTGCAGCCCCTGTGGTTTTAAGGTTTTCTGCTTTTCCTCTTAAAGGCGGAGATTGTGCCAACTTACTGAAGAACATGGGTCCACTGCCTGTAGAAATGACAAGGATGTACTTTGCTGAAACAGTCCTGGCTCTGGAGTACCTTCACAACTACGGAATCGTGCATCGGGATCTCAAACCTGACAAGTGAGAAGAGAGAACTGCCACCTCACTCCTGTTTGATATTTTGACATTTCTTTTTTTTAAATGTACTGAGTCTGACATAGATCTGAATCAACTCTCCAAATTCATTCAATTAAACATTATTAAATGATTTAAAAGAAATCTGATCTGTGATCAGAAAATCAAGCCATTAGACATTAACTCCTGAAAATGTCTGGAAAATTTTGTTCATTTTTATGAGTTTGTCTTACATGTGAAGAAAACAGCAGGATTTTGGAGGTCAGATGAGTTCATTACAACAGGAAAACGTCTGTAAAGTCATATGTTTTTGTTAATAGCACATTGACACCAGCATTGCACCGTATCACCAAAAGCTCTTGTTTTTCAAGTTAACATCTTCGTCTGTGTCTTCTACGTGTATGGCTCCCCTTTTTCATCCTGAGATGTTTGATTTTCATTTTTGTATCTGTTGTCTGTCAGAAACGTCATCAACACACGCACTCGCTTGCTATGGATTTTGCAGACATTGTCCTGTTGTCTCAAATGGACTCACTCTGACAGTTCTGGACATTTGAGTAGGAAGTTGGCAGGAAAAGTTCCAGAAAATGTTCAGTGCACCTGATTCAGACATTTGCATTCTCACAAACAGTCCCTCCATAAAATGTATGAAAATGTCCAAAGTTCAGTTCATGTCTGAAAGCATGAATACAGAGTTTTTTACCCCTCCTTCTTTTCTATTTCAATCTGGCTACTTTCATTTTCTTATAGAATTATGGCTCAATCACTTGTTAAATGCAAATGTTCCTATGTGTATGATGGACTTAATTTTTTTCTTTTTACACGCACCAGCTTATTAATTACATCCATGGGCCACATCAAGCTAACAGACTTCGGCTTGTCTAAAATCGGCCTCATGAACATGACCACCAACCTGTATGAGGGTCACATGGAGATGGACACAAGAGAGTTTGAAGACAAACAGGTGAGACAGTTTCAGAGAAAACTCAAAGCCTCTTCATACCTGTATATGTAAAAGAAATGAATTTGTGACTGCTGTGATGATAGAAACACTTGTATCTTTTTCTCACCCGTGTTGATTTGTTTATGCAGGTTTGTGGCACTCCAGAGTACATCGCCCCGGAGGTGATCCTCAGACAGGGCTACGGGAAGCCTGTGGACTGGTGGGCAATGGGGGTCATCCTCTATGAATTCCTGGTCGGCTGTGTCCCGTTCTTTGGAGACACGCCCGAGGAACTTTTTGGTCAGGTTGTCAGTGGTGAGTGATGAATTGACAGAAAAGCCTTTAAAATGAACCAGGGTTATTAGACATGTATTGTCAAATGTAGAAAACAGAAGCTGAGATTTACATTTTTCTATTACAAAATGTTCCAATTATCACAGAATATACTTGCTATTACAGTGTTAGCCATTGTAATTTGTTTGTTTTATCTTTTACTTTAAATGTTTAAAATAAAGGCATATAAATTAAAAGAGATGTATCAGTGCCAGCTAGATTCTATATAGATTTCCAAACATGCTGCAAACAGTATGAATACTCTTTACATATACAGAAGCTGTGTTATTGTTATTTACTGCTCCATAGTTTGTGCTCCTCTTACTTATATTTGTGTGATTTACAGATGACATAATTTGGCCTGATGGAGAAGATGCATTACCCTCTGATGCCCAGGACCTGATTACCCGCCTGCTGAGGCAGAGTCCCTTAGACCGACTGGGAACCGGTACTGCTGCCGGCGTATTACCCAAAAATCAAAATCCAATGCAAGATTTATGTAGCTGGAGGGAAGATAAAATAGTGACTCCCTCCTTAACACATTTAGAGCTATTTTAAACTTTATAAAGTACTTAGAGAAAAGCACAATTTAAAAATGATAGGAATAAGAAACACCTACTGTATGAGAGAGCATTTTATAAAATGTTTATCACTGAAACTGATTCAGTGTTCAACTGGCTGTGAAAACTGTGTTTGCAGGTGGAGCATCAGAAGTCAAGCAGCACCCCTTCTTCCTGGGTCTGGACTGGAATGGTCTCCTGCGGCAGAAAGCTGAATTCATCCCTCAGCTGGAAGCAGAGGATGACACCAGTTACTTCGACAGTAAGTTACAGTTGAGATGATATATAATGTTTTCTTAGTGATACTACACCCTGACTTTTCTCCTGCATGTAAAGCATATGCAGAGCCAGTGTGCAGCATTTGCAGTAGCTGATCGACAACATAAATACACAATGCATCATAAATCAAACCAATATTTGTAAAAGAGCTTCATTTTCTGTATCTGACTCCAGCTCGATCAGAACGCTACCATCACTTGGCGTCTGATGAGGATGAGGAAACCAATGATGAAGAGTCTTCCTTGGAAATCAGACAGTTTGCTTCATGGTCGCATCGCTTCAGCAAGGTAAGGAATGGAAGAAGACAAGGGACGAGGAGGTTCAAAAAAATTAAACTAAACTCACAGCATTATTTCCATGTATATTAACCCAAAGCCAAGTTGGAAGGTGAGAAATTACCAATGTTAATTGAATGCTAACAAAGTAGACCTCCAATATCCTGACAATGCCATAAAATCACCTGAAAGCTCTTCAGTACTCAGGCCCTCTACTTCAAAACATCTCCCTTGTTTTTCATCTCAGGTTTACAGCAGCACAGAACATCTGGCGACACCTTCCAACCTAAGTTTCTCCTCCGACCGTAGCCACAGTGAGGATAAGGAGGACCGCAGGGAAATGGGAGGACTCAGTCTCTCCCCAAGCCCAGCAGAGGGCAGTGTGGAGCGCAGACACGCTGAACGTATGGCCAGGTAGGAACAAGTAAAACACAGTACTTGTGTTCTTGTTGTACACCTTAAGAAAAATGTATGAATTGAATTATTCACAAGTCCGGAGATCATTCTCTTGAATGTATGTGAAAACAGCAAGTCATTAAAAACACAGTGTTGGTGTGATCACTTTGGTTCACTCGTCCAACTGGTCTGTTTTTAGCCTTCGCCCTCGAGCCTCCTCTAGCTCCTCCCAGTCTGAGAGGAGCCCCAGCCCTCTGGTGATGAGCAGCACCCACAGCCTGGAGACGATGCCACGCTTTGCCCTCTCCACTGACGACGAAGGTAAATCCAGAATTATCTGTTTTTCTGCATGTCTGTTCACTTTTATCAGTGCTTCTATTAGAGGTGTGACCAGAGCATTTTCAAATATTGTTGTTGTGCCCTTGAATCTATGTGATCTGCAGCCGAGGTTGTCGTCTCAAACCTTCGGAGGATCAGGATTCGCAGTAACAGCACCGGGGCCAAACACTCATCCCCCAAGGACCCTGTCGGCCCCCGGCGCTTCGGTAACCAGCTGGATACACCAGATAGACAGAGGCTTCCCTGTGGAGGGAAGGTCCCAAAGTCCGCCTCTGTCTCAGCCCTGTCTCTCATCATCACTTCAGGTTTGGAAGTTTTTCATCACCACCAAGTCCAGCAGAATTAACTCAACAGTGATCAGAAATCTAAATGCAGATTGGAAAGCTGCTTTCAAATAGAATATCACGGACAAAAAGCTTGTAAATGTTTGTTTATTTGCATTTAGATAAATAAAAACTGAGCTTATGACCCTGTCTGATTTTCTGTCACTGTTTTTTAACATGTCAAATTTATTTGGTCAGCAAGTTTACAAAAATCGTCCTGTTTTTGTTGTAGATGACTCACCCGGCGGCCTCCAGCCCAGTCCCATCTCACCTCGCTCACTGTCCTCCAACCCCTCATCACGTGACTCATCACCCAGCCGAGACTTTTCCCTCGGCCCTGGCAGCCTGAGGCCGCCCATCGTCATCCACACCTCTGGGAAGAAGTTTGGCTTCACCCTACAGGCTATCCGCGTCTATATGGGCGACAGTGACTTCTACACAGTGCATCACATGGTGTCGGTGGGTGTCACCACAAGATTTAAAACTTATGTGACTTGCAAACACACGGTGTAGCTCATCCTGGTGTGATTTACATGTTGTACCTGTGGCAAGAGTAATCTGGATCTCGGCAACAGTATAGAAAGGTGGTTATGTAATACTCACAGAAAACCCCTCTCCATCCACTCTGTGTTTCTGTTTTTAAAGAGTGTGGAGGAGGCCAGCCCAGCGCACCAGGCAGGACTCCGCACTGGAGACCTCATCACACATGTGAACGGGGAGTCTGTCCAAGGCCTGGTCCACCCTGAAATGATAGAACTGCTACTGAAGGTACCAGCGGTCATTATTTTGAAGTTCAGTTTCAGTTGCATCATTTGTCCCTAGCACAAATAAATACTTTTTTCTTACCTTTGCGATGAGCAGAGCGGCAGCAAGGTGGCGCTTCAGACAATAGCGCTTGAAAACACATCAATTAAAGTTGGTCCCGCTCGAAAGACCAAACACAAAGGCAAGATGGCTCGTCGCAGCAAGAAGAGCAAGAGGAGAGATAATTACGACAGGTGAGAGTCTGAGCATTGGTTTCCACTCACTCGCTGCAGCTCTGCAGTTTTACTCATCTGTTGTTTACTCTGGTGAGTTTCAGTCATCTGTCTCCCTCTAGTGTCACACACTGCAAGTCAAATCTAAAACCACTTGTTAACAACTGCACTTTGATTCACAACTTGTTCTGTTGCACTGGTGACTATTATCTGTTGTTCTTGTTTTATTAAGATTAATTAAATATATATGTATAATTTGTGTTATTTATACTTCATATTTACAGTAATTAACAGACACATTACATTACCCAAATTGTGTTCCACACATGCACTTTTATAATAAAAAGTTGAACGTAACTGTAAAATGATTAAAAAAAACCGTTGCAACCGACACATCTTTGGCTTTCACTGATCATTATGGAGTAAATGTAGATTATTACGATGCACTGGCTATAAAATAATAACACCACCTGCATTTAGATTGGTTGCTTATAAGCCTTGATTTCACTATGATATATTCTGTCTGCCACTGGGCATGAAATTTCCATTAAGTCTCATTTTATAACTCAAAGGAATGGCGTCTGTGACTGTAATAGACGAGCTACCGAACAAAGTGGGCAAATGCATGTTCATGTTGTGATAAGAACTGGATTCACAATATCTTAAACACTTAACTGGGTCATTAGAACACACAGAATACCCCCTGAACTCATTGAACTACACAGGATCAGATCTCTGACTCTTCCTCTTCTTCCTCTCCAAGGCGGCGAAGCATCTTGAAGAAGCTGTCTAAGCAGAGCACGGTGATGCACAGCAGCCGCAGCTTCTCTTCTGGTCTCCATCACTCCGTTTCCTCTAGCGAAAGTCTTCCAGGCTCCCCGACGCACAGCCTCTCCCCTGGCCCTTCCACACCGTGCCGGAGCCCTGCACCCGACCATCAGGCCTTTGGTGAGTTAAACATGGCATAAAGGTTGTTGATGTGGAAAGTTAATGGTTATTTGACATAAATCAGTCGAAGGATCAGGGGAGAATATTTTGCAACTTGTGGTGTGAAGTATTTGAATCTGTCTTTACTTCTTTCTAGAAAATAACTCTCCTCAAAGCACATCTCCATGCTCCAGCTCTCCCAGTTCTCCTGCCGCACACATTCGGCCCAGCTCACTCCACGGCCTGGGCTCCAAACTCAGCACGCAGCGCTATACCAAGGTGGGCCGCCGCAAGTCCACCAGCAACATCCCTCCCTCACCTCTGGCCTGCAACTCTTCATCCTCCACCCAGCCACTTTCACCACAGCGCTCTCCATCCCCACTGCCAAGCTTCGCTAAAAGCCTTCACTCTTATCACGGCAAAACCCTGTCACCACCTACCATTGTTCGGCACATTGTTCGTCCCCGCAGCGCTGAGCCTCCCCGATCACCGCTGCTGAAGAGGGTGCAGTCAGCTGAGAAGCTGTCGGGAGTGTATCATGCAGATAAGAAGTCGTACGCCCCACGCAGGCACACGCTGGAAGTGCCGTTTTATGGTGAGGCTGATCTGCTCTGTGACTCTGAGGCAGAGGGCTCCTGTGGAGGCTCCTACATCGGGGGCGAGCACAGCAGGCTAGTCGGCTACATCGGGAACCAGCGGGTGAGGGACTCTGGGATTGAACGATCTGAGCAGCTGGTTGTGATGAGAAAGCTCAACCTATCAGAGCGCAGAGACTCCTTTAAGAAGCAGGAGGCAGTGCAGGAGGTGAGCTTTGACGAGCCAGAGGAGAAAAACAGCACCGCGCTCACTGTGACCACCACAGCACCAGGAACCCAAACACAAGTTAAGCAGCCGCAGCAGCAGAGGACAGCATGGATGCTCACTCGACCCCAAACAAGTGAGGAGGTGGAGCTGGAAGTTCCAGTGGTGAGGAGGTTTACGCTGGTGCCCCAGATCGCCGTGCAGGGCTCAACGGAGAGCGAGGAGCAGGACGAGTGGGAGCCGTGTTCAGACAGCGAGGAAACCACAGAGAAGCAAGAGCTCGAGATCGGTGTCACTTCATCTCCGCAGCAACAGGTGGGACGTCCTCTGAGTGAGGTGATCTGCAGTCAAGCAGCAGAACCCACTTCCCGTGGTTCTCACATCGGGCCATCAGCAGAGAAGATTGAGTGCAGAGAGGAAACACCACAAAAAGGGCATCAGAGAAAGTGAGAGCTCAACACTGATCTCTCATTTCAGCTGCTCGTTTCTCTTCTTTCAAGCGTAATACGCATCATTGCTGAAGGAAACTCCCAGGTGTTTTTTGTCTGAGCCAGATGAACTGGAATCTGAACTCATTAACAAATTGCTGAAAGACGGTGGGAAAAGATTTTACCTGAATTGTTGTTGGGTTTTTTTTGTAAATATCGAGGACGTTCTGGTCGTATTTATTACATTTGATGAATTAGTAACAGGGAATGAGGGAACTTCTCATTCGTTGAGTTGCCAAGGCTCAACGTTTTTGTATCCATAAAATGTGGCTTTATGTCTTTTGACTGGATTTTTTGCTATAAATGTCTATTTTTTAAAACAATAGTTGTGGCACAGAGTAGTTTGATAATGTTGAGGATAACTGTTGCAGGACCAAAAGGTACGAGAAGCAAAGTGTTTGTTTCTTTTTCCCCGTTCAGTGTCTGTTTTTAATCTGAACCGTGCAGCTTCCAGTAATGTAAATCTGCTACAGTATGATCATGGTCTTCATAAACATAACAGTGACTTTTAGTTCACACTGTGAGAAACTTGTGTCATTTTCTGATGAACTCTCTGAGATAACAGATTAGCCTTCCATAGCACTACATGTACATCCTTCAGAACAAGCATTAACACAAAAGCTACCGAGCTTTAATGAAGCCGCAGTAAAAATGATGTAAGATTGAAAGTTGAGCAAAAGTTGGAAACTTTGCACAACTGGAACTGGAACTCCTTTTTGTGTTAAACATGAAACCAGTCAGAGCAGGGTAACATCGCAGATCACCCAGGTGTGACTTTAAAGTACAATCTGTTTTACCTGCCATATTTGTGCAGTGTCCTCTAAGCTATATCTTCTTTAAAAAAAAAAGTTAATTTGTGTTTCCCAAGTGTCTCTTTTCTGAAAATATCCCAGTCTTGTTAAAGTCTCACGAAAAGTAAAGATGTCACCCCCCCCCCCAAAATCTGCTTCCTGCTCACCTTTTTGACATCTGTGCACACTGATACGGCCCAACTCCGTCTCAACGCACAGAGCAGCCAAATCGAGACCGAATCGTCTTCTGAGCCTGGAGGGAATCACAGGAATATCTTTGTTTTGGTTTTTTTACCTCTGTTAGAGTGACTACACATTTGAGAAGTGCTGCATTCTTTGGCGTTTTGCCTTGTCTTTTTTTTTTCTCACTAACGTGTGAGAGACACCCTGCCTGAAACGATCTTTTCCTACTTCATTTACTGTGTAGTGATGTTTACATCAGGTGGGGAAAAGTGCACTAATGTATTTTGACACGACTTTTGTAACCGAATGTTGAAGAGGGATGCATTTACATTGAATCCAAACCCAGGGCTTCATTGAACATATGTTTTGTGTTTGTATTGTACAAATATTAATGTATATTTTGATAACGAGGTTGTGTATAATTCCTAAGGTGTTGAAGGTCGTGATAATGCACAATGACAGCTTGATTTTCGTATCTGTCAGTGGCTGTTGCTGGCTTTTGTACTTTATCTCCGGTTTCTATAGCATCAGTTTTTTTTTTTATGTTACTTAAGCCCCCCTCTTCCACCTTAAGAATACTCCTCTCCTGTTGTGTCAGTGCAGATAGATTCCTGAATGGTTCAGTCAGCGTGACAGAATGGTTTACAATGAACAAACATGCTATGTACTGTACGAACATTTTATATCCTTTTGGTTGTATATGATGAAACTGCTCACTTTAATACCCTTTGAAGAAGATGACACTCGAAAGAGGTGCAGATCTGTCTTTTGTCTTTGTTTGAAGAAAGTGTCCATGAAAATGAATTTAACACCAAGCTGAGAATTGTTCAACAATTTTACATGCACTTTGGTAACAGAGTTATCATCAGCATTTAGAAGATATTAGGAAGAGAAAGAAACTCTTTCCTTAGCTGGATGAATGGACGAGGAAGAATCAGGCTTTTCAGAGAAACACATTGAGCATGCTGGTTTACAATGTGGTTTTTACATGTGCACATCTGAATGAGAACTATGTCTTTAGAAATATCATTACCCCAGAGGTGCATTCATGTATGTAATATAATAGGATCCAAGTCAAACTACAAGGGCACTCAGTAGAGCACAATATCTGCACCAAGGAGAAACAGTCCCCTTATGAAACCACTTTTAATTCTCCAGATCCAGATTTTTATTTGGGACACACAGATACCAGTCCCCTCAATATGCCTTATGTTCTAAATGAAGACCCATGAATAATTATGAGAAATTAATGGAAATATTGGAAAAATATATTTTCTTACCCTGTTTGAAGGGGGAAAGAAATTCCTGGATCCGCACCCTGATTTGGATCTGCTCCAATTGAATGAGTCCTTAACTGACCCATACAGCATCCTTCCACCAAGTGTCATCCAGTAGATTTTGTGTAATACTGCTAAAAACATAACCTCCTTGGCAGAGGTAAAACCAGAACTAAAACCACAGATTTCAGACACACGAAGGGACAAACAGAATTGAAAAGGCTTCATGCCTAAAGAATACATTGAAATTAGGACCCAGATTACTGTCCAGCTGCATGTAAACATGTTTTAAATCGCATTCATACCAATGAATCCCTTTGAAAAACCTGGTTCCTTGCGTGAATGTAAAATGTATTGCTTTGCTCGTCTCTCCTGGTTCAAAGTCTTGTGTCAGGGCAGCTTCAACCACCAGAGGACAGCACAACACTCAGCTGGTGTTAGACTCATGTCTTTACAGAGCAAACTGGCAGGTCCAACTGTTGTACACGTACATGTGTTCTCCTGTGGACTCTTCTGTTCAGTGCATGTTGCATGACACAAGCACACATCTGTAATACTTGACTGCATGGTATACAGGCATTGTTGCCCCGTACTGTGTTTTCTTGTGTAACAAATAAACTTTGTATTTCTCTCTGACCCATCTTGATTCGAGTTTTATATAACACTGCAATTTTCACCACACAGTTATATCCGTTGTGGGTAAATAATTAGCTAAAACGCAGGCTGTTATGAACGTGAGAATCCAACATATCCTGTTCTGTCACTTTGTTTGCCATCATCTGACAAAAACGTATTCACAAAAGTGGCTGCATCACGTAGCTTTGTTGGCAGGAGCATTAAGATGTTAGTAGTCAGCAAGCACATCCAATCTTAGTGCGTCTATCCGCCTGTCAAGGAAGAACCAATTAAATTTCACTGTGGGTCCAGGATTTTTTTCTTCCATCTATTTTAACATAGTAACATTTTTCAACATTTGTTAATTTCTCAAAGAATAATTCATGGATCTAGACGGTAAAAAAGACATGTATAGGGGACTGATATTTATGAGAATGTGCGATTTGGTGCAGACCCCCGCCCAAAAAAACCCGGATCTGAATTTAAATGTGGTTTCATAAGGGAACAGTTGTGCTTCTGGATTTACTTTATTAATCATAACACTGGCAGAGTTGAATGTGCTGTTAGTGTCACAAACAAAACAGACTAACTATCTGAAGTGACTTTCATATTCACTGTATGCTACAAACACATCAACAAACATCAAACAAACAGGTAGAAACAGTGATAGCCCTCACAGGCTAAGAGATTGTGCAGGAAGCAACGTGTAAACAAGAACGGTCACCACCAGTAAGTTACAATTTGATGCTATGAAACGGATTTCTTTGACTGTTCACATTTCAGATCTGGGTCATGTATTCTTTGCCACATAAGATACATGTAACCTGGAGGGAATCTGTGCACCAGTAAAATCTCTTTATAATAGCAAGGATCATAATCATCAAGTTTTTCCGAGGGAATGTTCATTCCTGCGGTCTTCACACCCATATGGGAAACAGGACTAAGTCCTGCTTTGGCCATACACATCCCCATGTAAACATCATCAATAGGAATAAAAGGGATGGACTTGGACATTTTGTATATGACCATAGCTGTATAGCCAGACAGGAGGAAGCCCCCACCACCACAATAAGGGGGATAAGAGTCTGACTCCTGTACTTGTACTGGGACATAGTACTTGTTCCCTGGTGATCTAATGGGCCCCACGTTCTGGATCAAATGTCCAGTAAAGAGGTGCTTGCTTCCATTATTCTCCCTGAGGCCTTGGAGATACTCAACCATGTTGTCTGTGTTGACAAAAACATCATCATCGCCATTTAGCAAGAAGCGAGCTTTCGGACAATTTCTTTCCATCCATTCTAGGAAGAGTACCTGCTTCAAGGTGAGGTTGTAGAACGTGTCTCTAAAGTCCCATTGAAGAATGTCATTGTATTCATTTTGTTCCATTTCAAGAAGTTTGTTCTGTCTCTCTTCTTCAACATGAGAACCCGTCACTCCTGAGATGAAGAGCCTCCGGACCTGCATGCCGTTGTGCGACCTCTCTTTAGCCCAGGTTTTGCGCAGAACCTCTCGACGTTCATAATTCATAGGGGAGCTTTTAATGACCAGAAGGAGAAAGATTTCTGCAGATTTATCGGCTCCTCCGCATTTGTCAGGAATGTCCAGTATCATGGAAAAATGTTGACAGTGTCGATAGTAGAGAAAATCTTGTATATTACCAGAAAGAGAGCTGAAGCCTGTGATGTTGGCAGCAGAGATGTTCTGTTGACATCTTAACCAGGAGAAAACATTGATGTCCCTTGTGGTGGCTTCCCTTATTTCACTGCCCTCTCTCACATTTTTGGGGATGCAGATGGTTTTTTCATCGCTAAAATTTTTATTGAGATGAAGGACCAACAGACCAAGAGCTATCGCCAGCAAGACTTTTCTGGCACCAATCCTTCTCATCATTGAAACTCTGCAGTGAAAAACAAAACAATTTTTAATCAACACATCTCAGTCAAACATTAAGGAATTTTAATGATTTAATTTAAATGACTAAGTTGACATGAATTGCTCAGGTAAGTTAAGTATATCAGACCTGCACACGCCAAGTGTGAAGTTGATAAGATGACCAGATCTAAAGATTTTTGAACCACAAAGAGACAAACAGAGAGTTCGGGAATTATTAGATAGAAGACATTTAAGTTCCGCCCGCTTATCTTTATTTAAGCCTGTGGTCTCCCTTCATTTGTAAGCAAGACTTGACTTCACGTTCAGATGTTAACACTTTCACAAAAAAACCTGCACTTACACTTAAATAACCCCACTTGTGCTTAGATTTGCTCTGCTTGTGCTCAAACTGTGCACTTGCTCTCAGATATTTTGTTGCCTTTAATTTGTCACGATAATTACGTTATTGTTGTTCGATATTTGGACATGACCATTATTAGAGAGTTCATTTATTCATGTTTTCCACAGTCACACCCAAAATCAGTTAATAATCCAATCACCACCCCAGAACACAGACCCACGTATTCTGAACCTCTAGACGGAAGTGACCAGTAGGCTGTAGAGCCATGAGTGTAGGGGTCAGGAGAGTGGGGGAGGATTGTCTGTTTTACCGTCTCAAAAGTGCATCGTTAAATCAACGTGTTGTCGCAAAATATTAGCTAACTAGCTAGCTTTTTAACTCTCCTGTTTGGTCCATTACATTTCTCACAACATTACCCGTCCTCTAAATTTACAAAAAAATTATTTCAACGTTCTTTTAATGTTTGTTAGTCTGAACAAGACAAGATAAATGTATGAATTCATTTTTCCCTAATAAATGCGTGGCTCTGTAGCTTTTTGTCAGAGAACACCTGAGTTTTGTTCCACAGAAATATTCTACTTTAATGTCAAAAAATATTCTTACTCTTCAATTTTTTTCTGACAACACCCGAACCTCATTTACACAGAATTTAAAGAAAAGCATCTCAACCTCAATGTTTATCAGATTGATGTTGAAAGGATGGGCTTAATGGCAAATAGCTAGCTAACTTGTTTTGTTACATTCCATAGGAATGACGTAGGAAAAGTAGGAGTTGGAAGCGTTGCAGTTACACAGGAACATTATAGCCAGGCAGGTTTGAACTAAATTAACTAGTTCACGTCCATTTGTTCCGTTTTTTAATGGATGATGGTCCTGACAACTTGTGATAAATGTTGGTGTTTATTAGCTAAAGTGAGAGCAGGTCACAGAAACTCCAGCTCTGTAGGAACTGCTCACGTTCATCATATGTAAACTGATTCGTTCAGTTCAACGTTCACACTAAATCTGAGCATGTTGATTGAACGTGTTCATGCACAACACTGCCTGGGATCGATGGATTTGAACCCCTGTCTGTTTCTGAAGCTCTTTTTTATATTTGCAGCCAGATCCTCCCGGTGGTTTAGACACACTGCAGTATCCTCAGGAGATTTTGTTCTCAAAGATCTCTGGACCTACGTATGAGTCTGAAATAAAGTTCACTAAAGTTCAACTGAATTGACCTCTGGCTCTTGGGAGCCGGGGGCGGGAGGTGGTGAAGGAGGCGGCAGCAGGTGCAGGTGATTGACACGTTCCTCAGCAATTCACATTTTGCCTCCCAGGACAGTTTCCTGCTTCGCCTATGGACCATAGACTGTATATAAAGAGCTATGGACACACCATCATTGACCGTGACTTCAGTAGCTAGCTTGAGAAGCCCCCTCATTGCGCCGAGCTAGCTGGCGTCATGATGTTTGTCAGTGTTTAACGCGGTGAGGTGATAAAAGTCTCTGAACTACAACAGACGTCTGACAGTGACATTCTCTGCTTACCTGTCTCACGCTGCGGCCTCAGCTGTCTGTCTCTCTGTCTCTCTGCGGCCTCAGCTGTCTGTCTCTCTGTCTCTCTGCGGCCTCAGCTGTCTGTCTCTCTGCGGCCTCAGCTGTCTGTCTCTCTG